AGGGGGGGCTTGGGACCGGACAGGGGCTTCCCGGCCTTCCTTTGGACGTTTTCGGGCCGGGTGGCAACCTTTGGCCCCCCGGGAACTCGTCACCTCGGCCGGCAGAAGGTAGGTAAACCCGCAGGCCACGGGGCCCACACCTGGGACGGTCCGCGCCTGCGCCCCGCCCCCCCGCCCGCGGGGACTCCGCCCGCGCGTGCGCGGTCTGGCGTTTTCGCGCCACTGTTGTCTACAGGAGGGGCCGGAAGTGCCCCTGGGCGGACGGTGAAGCTGGGAACAGCTGGGGCTGCACCGCGGCCGGACGCGGGGTGGTGTACAGGGGGGTGTTGATTTGCCTCAGTGAAAGGGAAGATTGCTCGGAGGCCCAGCAACAGCTCCACGCATGCGTACAGCGGAGCGGCTGGGAGCTAGCGGTCGGGTCGGGACAGGGGGCTGCCACTTCCCGGAAGGGGCGGGACCTTGCGTGCGGAGGCGCCGGATTTGAAGTGCTCCCGGGAGGTTTCCGCGTCTGGGTGCTACGACCTATACGCAGGGCTTTGCGTGGGAAAGGCAAGAGGACGTTTTCATTTTCTTTTTACGTTATCTTTTTTTGGGAGAAGATTAAATTCAGAAACTTGGAAGCAGCTAGTTAGGATTCAGGCCAAACTGGTAAATGACGGAGGGGCGCCTTCCCAAGCCAAGGAGAAAGGGTTGTCTGGGTAAGTCCCACGGGCCGTGGAGAGGCGGCCCCACGGGCCCGGGACTTCCCGTCGGTCCTTTGGCGTGTGGGTTAGGGAGGGGCTCTGTGTTCGCGCCCCTGTCCCGCCCGCCCCTTCAAACGCGCCGTCGGTGGCTCCCGTTTGCGCACCGTGGGAGCGCGGCCCGCCACCCCGGTGCCCGGCTTCCAGCCCCTGCGCCGCTCCGCCCCCGAGCTGACCCGCGGCCAGAACTCGGTGTCCCCGCCACTCAGGGCTCTCCCTTCTCTGCCAAGGCCAATGCGTCCTGAATGTCCTTGCCCTGGGCACCCCGTCGGGCCCACGCCCACGCCTGCTCAAGGCCCTCCGGGCGAGTCTACCGATCCCCGCAGGTATACTTGGGTGTTCCCCTTTTCCAGTTGTCCACGTGGTGCTTGGAAAATAACTTGGCATTATAGCAATTGCCTTAAGGCATGATAGTTAACTACAGCCATTCTTCCCCCATCCCCACCCCGCCCCACCCCCACCCGCATCTCAATAAATATCGGGACCAGTAAAAGTTAAGGCCTTGACTTGGCTTCCTGCGCCCTTCTGCACCCGACCTTAATCTACTTCTGATGTCTTTGCGCAACTCTTCACGTGGCCTGCTGATCTAGACAAGTAATCTTTCCATCTTCCTTTCCAGATGGGAACAAAGTGGCATGTACCGCTACCCCAGTCCACCCCCAAATAAATTGATGTCACACGTCTGGTAGTGAAATTCCTTGCATCAAAGTCACTTTTTTACTTCTAAAGATAATCAAATGCATATATTATATTCCTATCATGGTTCTTGCCTTGATACAATAAGTATGACATAGTCTGAAGAGTCAAAAACGCTGTAACATCTAGGCTAAGTGGTCCTGTTGGTAAACAAGGGGAAATTTTGGGAGGTGTCTGCTTGGATGTCACTTCCTTTAGGAAGCCTTCCTGGAGTTGGGGAGGTGGTACCCCTTCTTTATATGCTCCTGTAGTTCACTCTCCTTACCTCTGTACCTGTACTTGTCACATTGTTGTAATTCTTTTTGTCTCTAGTCTCACTCTACTAAGTTCCTCAAATTCAAGGCTTAATCTTTTATTATTGCGTCTCCAACACTTAGAAGAACTTCCGATAAATAGTAGGCATTTAATGTTAATTGATAGCAAAGTTAAGCCCAGTTTATATTATAGTATGCTTTAAAGTTAGAACTAAATTCATATGAAAATAAAACTGACGGAATAATAAACATGAGTGACGTTATGTGGGAAATCCCATACAGTACCATTTTGTACTGAAGTAAACTTTACATCGTTTACTAGTCCATTATAGTCATCCAAATGGGAATAAGGTAATTTAAAGTATTTCCCACATTATTGTTAAAATAAGTTTTCTAATGCTTTTGCTTAAAACTGAAGTAAAATTGAAAAACTGAATAAAATGTATTTTTGCAAGAACCAGACCACTGACCTTTTTTTATGTTTTTTTAAAATTTGATTCATTAGTGGAATTAGCAAGGTTCTGTGCTTTTCTCACCTCATTCAGTTTTATAATCAACCAATAAAAACTTATTAGCTTTTAAGGAAGTTTTAGGAGCATAAATTGATTTATGGGCACCATATGGTTACATCAAAGGATTTGTTTTTGTCTTAACCTAAAGTGAATTTTAAGCACTTTTTTTAAACTAGAAATTCATGTTCTTTCGACCAAGTAATAATATCTGAAATAGAGTGATTGGATTTTCTTTTCTTTTTGTTTTGGTACCAAGCTACTAAAATTGGTCATGAGATTCAAAGGATGTCAGAATCTTATAATTCATTTTGTTAATATCCTTCATTTTGGAGATCAGTTAAATGTCTTCCCAAGGGTATGCAGCTAGTCAGTGTTACATCCAAAACCAAAATCCTAGGTTTCTTATCCCAAGTACAGTGCAGTTTTACTAAACTAAATAAACTGAAGCCACTAATAGGTTATAATTTATTTGTTAAGGGTTATTCTGACTGTTGACTCACATAAGTAATCATGTATTACTCTAATTCGTAAGAATTGTGACTATGTTAGATTTTTTTATATGTAATATATATAGACTGCATGATCAGATGGACATCAATAAAATTACAGTATAAAAGTAGAAACTAACCAAATCTCACACCACAAAAATTTCAGATTTCACCACATTAAAAAAAAAAAGTAAGACAAAATTATACCTAGTTTTGGGTGAGTTTGATATGTATAATATTTTTAAATTTTAATGATGAGTTATTTTCAAGTAACCTCATCAGATTGATCATGACCTCATGCAAGAACCATTTGTTCTATCTTTGAGTGTAGCTGTACTTGAATATCTTAAGAGCTGTTGCATTCTGTCCCTTTTTGGAACTTTATTTGCTTTTACATTCTTGCTACTTAATGTCACTTTGGAGGAAGGACTGGTGCAAAGAAAGTAACAAGAAAGCAATAGATCATGGAAATACATATTTTGTATTAACTGCTATCTTAAAATATGTTCTGTTGTTATTTTTCATAAAATAGACATTTCACATAATTTTATCCTTTCAGAACTATTGAGGTATTCTTTTAATATTCTGCTTTTATTAATGATTTTCACAAGGAACATAAATGCTTTTCAAAAGAAAATTAGAAAAAAAAAGAAAATTAGACAACTAGATCTACTGAAGATAATCCTAAAATAGTATTTTAAGAGTCTTCTAAATTTCATTTAAATTACATACTAAATTACATTAAAGAGTGTTCTGAATTACATTTAGAACACTTATGTAATTTTACATAATTTTTTTTTTTTTTGCATTTTACAACTGTCTCTAAGGTAGCACCATATTTAAAGAAGTAAATTAACTTGTGACAAAGGTTATGTCACCTTTAAGGAAAGTCACTATCCATTACCAAAGAGGTGATGATTTTAATATTTTAGGTTATTAAACAAGATCACTCTGGCGTCATTAGGAGAATGATTACCTGGGGTGGAGAGTAGAACAAGGTTAGAAGCAGGGGGCCAGTTGGGAGACTATTACAGTCATATACAGGCAATGCTAGGGGAGTGTCATTAGAAATGGGGATTTCTAAACTTTTTTTTAATTTTTTATATATTTTTTTATTGATTTTTTTACAGAGAGGAAAGGAAAGAGATAGAGAGTCAGAAACATCGATGAGAGAGAAACATCGATCAGCTGCCTCCTGCACATCTACTGGGGATGTGCCCGCAACCTAGGCACATGCCCCTGACCGGAATCGAACCTGGGACCCTTCAGTCCGCAGGCTGACGCTCTATTCACTGAGCCAAACCGGTTTCGGCAGAAATGGGGATTTGGTATAGATTTTAGAAATAGAGAACTTGCTGATCAAGGTGCTATTAGAGAGGGAAGTAAAGAATCAAAAATGCCTAGGTTTTTGGCCTAAGCTCCTGCATATTTAGGGAAAGGCTAAGGGTAGAACAGTTTGAGGAGAAGTGTTGGAATCATGATTTAGATGCATATTATGTATCCATGTGAAGATAAAGTAGGGATTGAATGTTCTAGTCCAGAGGTGAGAGGAGTTAAGAGATGATGTGGGATACATTATATTAGAGGTGGGGAGTGAAGAAAAGTTCCTTCATTGTAGAATATTCAAGGGGGACTCAGCAGTAATGTCTTTTTCAGTGTAGTCCAACTCTAAAAATATCCTTCCTGTAAGTCTGCTCACTCTCCAATTCCCATGTCTACCCCCATCCTTTAGGTATTGTTGCTTTGCATGACTCTAATCCATTATTTCTGGTTAAAAGTTCTAAAGGCTATAAAAGGTCTTGCAGTAATTTAAGAAGATCTAATAGAAATTCATGAATGGCAAGTTACTAAAAAAAAAAAATATTTACTGAGGAATGTCATAGAAAGAGACTAGCTCCTATAAAAATGGCCCCTTGATTCCCATCATTTAGACTTTAGAGGGGGAAAATGAGGGGGGGGGGTAGCAGCAATTCTTTCATGCTTATGAAGAAATATAGAGCATTACTATATAGGAGAGTGCTTGGGGAGCACAAAAGATGTTCTCAGCTTTTTCAAATCCATTTTGGTAGATATATAGGAACTATAGGTTAAGATACCAGAGTGGTTTAAAAGTCTTTGAGGAAGATTTAAAAATACAGTGACCAGAAGGATTGGCAGTGAAAGACATTTTTCCAGCACTGTCACTTAACTAAGGGAAAGTGAAGAAGAGAACACTTCAGTTCTGAGATAATAACTCAAATTTTACTTTCTGAGAACTAACAGATAATTCTGTTATAGACTTTTCTTTTTGCCTACATTATTTATACCAGTTGTGTTTAAGTAGCCATTGTTACAGCTTTGTAGTCTTTTGCTCACCTATATATATAAAAGTCTAAGCAACTGTTCAACCGTTTGACCAGTAGCTATGACGCACACTGACCACCAGGGGGCAGACAATGCGCAGGCATGGAAACATGGAACAGACCGATGAATCTGTTCCATGAGGTAAGGGGGAAGGTGGGAAGAGATTAACCAAAGCTCTTATATGCATACTAGAGGCCCAGTGCACGGATTCATTCAACAGTGGGGTCCCTTGTCTTGGCCCACGGGGATTGGGCTGAAACTGGCAGTCCGACATCCCCCAAGGGGTCCCAGATTGCAAGGGGGCACAGGCCAGGCCTAGTATTATAAAAGAACAGCCAAAATAAATCTTAGGTAGACATGGCTGATACCTGTTCAATTACCTGTGCTAGTTCTGTACCATAACCACGGATGTTCATTCTTTAAACCAGGTTTATTTCTGACAAAATAAACTAAAGTAATATGAATAATTAAGTTTTACGTGTAATTAATGTTACATTAAACATATTATTTGGGGTCTACTTAAAAGCACAGTTAAAAAGCAACTTTTGTCTTGCTTAAGGGATCCAACCTGTGGAAATGTTAATACATTATAGAATCAGTTCTGGGCTTATTTTTTCCCAGGCATGGCTGCCCCAGTGAAATATAACATATGTATAGTCATTTTGTGTAAACTAGCATTAGAATCATGATAGGAAGGATTGAACTTTAGGGCTGGAAGGGCCAGAAGAGATATACATTGTCTGAGATCACATGATTCATTCCTAGGCATTCTGAAGGAAACCAGAAAATGTAAATCTCTCCTTAAAAAGCTATACTGAAGTCATATTTGATGTTCAGGTACTCATAAATTTGAGGAACATTGCTTTTTAATTCAACCCATGAACTATATTCTGTTTGGTCATATAATATTTAGGCAAGAAGTAACCCATCTAAAGACTTCTAGTTTATTTTCCAACCCTTTATAGATAAGACCACATTTTTAAAATAGTTTTTTAATTTGAAAAGTAATGCATGCATATGGTTATCTATCTATATAAAAGCCTAAGGGACCGTTATGACCGGCCAACCAGCTGGTAACTATGGAATGCACTGACAAAACGAGTTGCTATTCATATATTTTATTTCCCTATAATTAATAAAGTTCATTAAATGATTATTTTTTTAT